ATAATCAATAGTATTGTAATAGCTATCTACAGTATCAGATGGGTAGTAAACTGGCGGGGGTTATCACTTTGTGAGGGGCATAATTGTCTAATCATTATGCTGTTTTGTACACCTGAAATTAATTTTTTAAAAAGCCTTTTCAGTAAATGAGACATTTTAGATCTTTTCTCATCCAATCTGGTATTTAATTTGCTGGGAATTTCAGTTCATGTTCAATTTCAAACTGTGTATTATTTATTTCGGTTCTTGTTTAATTTCAAATTTGGATTATTCATCTATTTGGTTTTCCTTCCTCCTCAAAAAAAAAAAATTAAGGGTGAAAAAAGGGAAAAAAATTAAACTCAACCTAATCAATTTAGTTGCCTATTACATATTGAAATTTAACAAATTACTGGCCAAAAAACAAGGTTTGAGGTTAAAACACAGTACAGCTAAAAGTCCTGTGAGAAACTTTTAACTTGTGTCATTCTGTGAGCCTTCTCTCTTTATATTTTGTGTATTTTATGCTATGTGAAAATACTATTTTTAGCACCTATTTTTCTTAGCTTTCCTGTTTATTTTGGGGTATCTATGTATACCACATTACTTTGGATTCCTGGCCTGGAGAAAACACTGTAAATCTACCTTCTCCCCAAATGCAAAACATAAATATAAAGGGGGAAAAAATTACTAACAGCATAATTTTCAAAAAGTACTTTTCCCTACATCTATAAATATCTCAGAGAAATGAAAATCGTCTGGGAACCTAAAATTGCTCAAGGAAACAGATGTTTGAATTCTCCTAAGTATAGGACATGGAATAAAGTTTCACACCAAAAACAACTGCAACTAAAGTATATTTCAAAAAGATTGTCTCACTATCTTTAGAATATTTGAAGATAAAACATTTTTAACTTCTTCTTGGTAAGAATTTTTGAGGTTTTGGAGGGTTTTTTTAATACAACTTTATCTTTTCTTCAGATATGTTATTACGGACTTGGAAAATTATGTACCTAAGAATTATGGGAATTATATTTTGGCACATAATTACCCTTCTTTTCGGTACTTAACACATTTTGCTTTCTGTTATAGGTCTTTGTGTGCATATTGTATGCCCAACTAGTTAAGTGACTTGCAAGCAAAAAACATAGTCTATTTCATGGTTATTTAATCCATTATGACCAATGTAGCACTCTGCACATAGTAGGTTCTCAATAAATACTGGTAAAATGTGGAATTATTGAATAATCATGTAAAAAATTACTTGAAATTAACAGTGAAAAGGAAGGCTACTTTATTCTTAATCATATTGTAATGAAGACTATTTTAAACTCTATGCAGTGATGATACACACAAATATTTAAACTATTTATGTGCCTCAACTTGACATAATTTCATGATAACTTGATGGCAATCACATTTAAATATATTAGAATATTTCTGTAATAATGATACTCTAGAATAGCAACTTTAATAGCTGGGAAAACATGTTAATGGCCATTAGCCTGAAGGAAACAGGGAACATTAAACATTAAACATTTTTTTCAGAAATCAACATATAAGTTTAAACATTCCACTATAATATTTATGAGCAAATGCAAATTAAAATTTATAAAATGGAAGCTATCAAATGTTTCAGTTAGGCAATAATTTAGAGTATATTTTATAATTTTTCCTGTGAACACATTAATGAACCCTATATAAAAAAAGACTATTTTCTCCTTTAGTGCCTTTGGCTATTACCACTGAAATATCAACATGAATTCTGCTTGAATGTCATCTCGTATCATGGCAATCTTATAGAAGCCCTTGATTATCTATCAATATGGTATTAGTCAATGAAGACAAGTAAGTCGTTTTCCTTACCTTCAGGACAGCTATGAATGGTACAAAGTTAGCTCTTTGGAGTCCATTTTTATAGAGATCTGAAAGAAAAAATTGCTATTAGCTTTTTACTTAGCCTAAATCATAATGTTAGCTTATATTTTAGTGTGACAAATAAAGCTTTCTACTAATAAAAAAGATAAAGGAGCAAAATAGAACAAAAATAACCAAGATTGATTTCTATTCTGTTATAACACAAAACTTATTATATTCTTAATAAGAGAAAACATTAACAATCACAGAAAGATCAAAAGGCATTCAATCAAATTAGCTTTAAAATACAATAAAAAGCAATAAAAGAATTTGGAAGATGCCACAAATGATCCTAAATAATACTCCACATAAGAAAATGATATATTTAAAAGTATTTAATATTTGAATACACAGAATTCTACTGGGAAAGGAGTTGTATTCTCCTTTTCTCAACATATGACAAAAGTTCTCAGTACACAATTAAAAGTGTGTAATAAGATTAGCCTTTTAAGAAAACACATCAATAGAACTGTTCATGTATTTGTATCAAAATTATATGTTTGGCATTAAGGTAAATGATATTAAAACCAACTTGCTTGAAAACGAATTGTCTCAAAATCAAAACTCCATTCTTACTAGGCTATAAATTTAGTGCAATTATATATTATAAAAAGGTAGTATTTATTGCCTTAAAATGGTGTTTTATACATACATATGTGTTACAGTGTATGTTCATTCACAGATGCACATATATTATCAAGAGAAAACAGGAGAAAAGGGGTAACAAATTTTAAGCTTTGCATATTTTACTTTAAAAATGGAGACTTGGGATATTTTTTCAAGAGGTTGAAATTTTATTATATATAAAACATTCCATTTAAAAGTCAACTCTAATGAGATTTTAAAAATAAAGTATTTATAAAAATGAGAACAGTATAAAGTTTTCTAAATAATAAAAACCAAAAATTAGCTATGCGTCTCAATTTTTCTTAAAGTATTGTATTATGGGACCATTTCTAGATTTCTTTGTTTAGAGAAAATTTGATAACTAAGAAAGAATTCACCGCCACATTTACTTATGGAAATAAAATGTGGTCATTAGGAAACATTTATTCTCTTTAGAAAAATATTCATCATAACATCATTATAGTGAAGAAAGTATTTGCATAAGCTCTTTGGTTAATTAAGGACTACAGGCTTTAATTGTTACATTTAAATTTTTTATTTAGGTACATTATAAAAGGTAATAAAGCTGACCAGGCTGAAAGGATTTCAAAATTCAAAATGAGATGTTTCTTTTCTATAATCGATACCTTGAATTAGTAAAATAGGGGAAATGCAGAGTTTCAAATTAGGTATTTTCATAGTCATCCTGAATTACTAAATTGCTGGGGAAGAAAAAATGTTGATGCATGATAAGAATTGACAGCCATGAAGGGGGTTTGGGATGGAGGAGAAAGTAAAGGGATTAGAAAGCAGAAATTAGTAGTCACAATATATGAAATTATTAGTAGTCACAGGGATATGAAATACAGTTTGGGGGATATAATCAATAATATAAAGATTTTGCAGGGGGTCAGATGGGCACTTGTTTTATTAGGGAGACAAACTTCATGGGCTGTGTAAATGTCTGACCACTGTGCTGTACACCTGAAGCTGAAGCTGAATAATATTGAATGTCAACTATAATTAAATATATATACTATATATAAAGTCACAGGATGTGGAGTATAGTATAGGGAATAGAGGCAATAGAATTGTAACAGCTGTATATGATATCAGAGGGGTTGTAGATTGGGGGAGGGGGGTTATCACTTTGTGAGGGGTATAAATGTCTACTACATTGTTTCGTACACCTGAAACTAAAAAAAATAATAAAACAGAATAAAATAAAATACACTGTCCTTTTCCAACTACAAAAAAAAAAAAGTTGACAGCCATGATTGCCAGTTAAGGGATAAAAATTGAAAATAAAATCATTTTTAAATGACAATGTTCATAGCAGCTTTATTTATAATAGCTACACATTACAGCTTAAAAACTGCAACCTTGTTTATAATAGCCCAAAACTGCAAGCAATCCAAAAGTCTGACAGGTGACTGGATAAACTGTGGCATATCTGTACAATGAAAAACTACTCAGAAA